TTCAATGGCTAAACTAGAAACCAACCCCTTTTTTCAAAATAATAAAATAATGTAAACAAGAAACCTCTTAAAGGAATACATTTACAAATTAAACTCGTTAAAAACACAATTTACAAGAGAAAATGAAGAATAAAGAATGAAAGTTTTTCTCTTGATGATCAATGCTTGGATAGGTGTTTTGTATCGTTTTTCAATTGTCTTGAACTTTATTTTAATTGTTGGAATGTGTTTTTGACTGTTTCTAGCCGTTGAAGATGTTTTGGAGCCATTGGGGACTTAATTGATGTAAAATAAAACTACCCAGACCAGGTAGTATGATACTCAGGCTTGGAGTATCGATACTCACTAATAAAAACTAGTCGTTTTTCAACCGTTGGGCTAGGAGTATCGGTATTGAGATCATGGTACCGATACTACTATAAAAAGTAGTATCGATACTCCTTTGAGAATCGGTACCAAAAATGCAAAATGAAATTTGAACACATTTAAAACAAATAGGCATATCGATACTACAATGAGAGTCTCGACACTTCCCTTACCTTGGGTATCGATACTACAAGAATAGTATCGATATTGTTCATATGTTACAGTATCGATACGTTTTTCTAGAAAATCATTTTTGTGTTAAAATTTAAGTTTTTTGGACTTTGAATTATTTTTGAAAACTTTGAATAAATTCAATTTAGTCCAAAAACATTTTTGACCTTAAAATTCTTATATCAAAATAGGTTCAACAGTATTGATACTCCTAGTTAGTATCGATAGTAGAAAATTCCTCAAAATTTCTCACATTGATATCTAATCCTCGATATTGATATCAACAATATTGATATTCTTGATTGAAGTTACCCAACTTTCTTCATCAATTTATGTAGTATCGATAATTTTTGTCAACTACCGATATCTAAGCCTAAAAATGACTATTCCTAAGCTCGAGAATAACTCTAAAACTCTCTCAAACACTATAGTTTACGTCCAAATCGATTCTTATTACTTAAGGGAGTTACATAGGATCATTTAATTATCCAAGTCATAAAACACAAATAACATTTAAAACATACTTAAATGCTAAACCACACATAAGGAATCATATTTATAAATGTCATGATATCATAAATGATTAAGAACATATTACTTTATTATTAGAATCTCAAAATTAAACTCCTTTAATCAGCTACCACTCACTTTCTTCTCCCCATTTACCCTTGAATGCTCTTTACTCACCCCTTTAGCCAAACATGAAAGCAAGGGCCTTTAATCGCAAGCAATATTATAAGAAAACTTAAGGACAAATTTAAGATTTATAGGAAGCATAAAAGAATCTCATAGCACTTACCTTTTAGCTATGAAATTTGGAGGAAAAAAAGAAAGAAGAATAAAATGGTGAGGAACAATATGGAAATGAGAAATTGAAAGCTTTTCAGCTTTTTCCCTACTAAGCCAAGTTTTATTTACAACAGAAATTCCAAGAAATCAACCTATTTATCAACAATTGTATAATTATTTTTTTGGTCTTTCCTCATTTATCTTTTAATCAAATATCCTCTTTTAATGGCTAATTGAACTCAAATTATACACATCATGAATCTCATAAATAAGCTACAAGCATTACTGCCAACACAATCAAGTAAGGTCATTTCCTCTCTCATCACTGCATAACCTATTCTCTAATTTGTAACGTTATGCAAGAAACATTTGGTCTTTTAATATCTTATGACTTTAAGACATTGAACATTATCACTACTCATTTTTCTCTAAATTTATCATTTCACATGAGATATAGCTTATACATCTTCGATTTATCAATTTCTTCCAATATTGGATACCTTCAAGGGCACTTTTGTTGAGTTTTTACCCCAATAGGGTATTTTGGTCATTTACCACTCTAAAGATATTTCAATCACATTAAACCTCCCTCACACTGGGTCTTCTAATTATGAGTTGTCCCTTAATCTTACAAATATTTTCGAAGTCAAATTTGACTTTGAGAGACCAAGGATATCAATATCAAGATGAGGGTATTCATGCTTAAATATATGGTATCAATGATATCCTTGACCAATATAGATACCAAAAAATACCTCAAAATTCCTCTGTATCAATATATGATTCTTGATATCGATATCACATGAACATTATCGATATCAACACGAACAATATCGAAATTGCCTAACTTTATTAATCAATTCATATAATATCAATATTGTCTTTCAAGTACTAATACCTAAGATCATAAATAATTATTTCTATACTAAAAATTAACTTTAAAATCCTCACAAACTCTCTAATTTAAGCCTTGAAATCAGTTTTTAAAGCTCAAATGAGATATAGAGGTTGATTTAGTCCAACAATATTTTTGTTTATCAAAATAAAAATAGGGTAAAGTATAGTAATGGTCACTGAACTTTTCTGAAGCTTGCATTTAGGTCCTCTAACTTTTAAAACTTTCAATAAAGTCCTCTAATATTTAGTTCGTTTACAATATGGTCCCTGACGTAACTGGTCGTTTGACGCCGTTACACTACCATTAGAAGAAGATGACGTGACAGTCCTCCAACATTTAGTCTGTTTACAATATGGTCACTGAAATTTTTTGGCGCTTGCATTTAGGTCCCCCAACTTTTAAAACTTGCAACACAATCTTCAATTTCATTCTAAATCCCAAATTCCAAAATAATTTAATTACATTTTAAACCCTAAATTCTAAAATACTTCAATTTAAGGTTTAGAATGTAATTAAAGTATTTTAGAATTTAGGGTTTAGAATGTAATTCAAGTATTTTGGAATTTTGAACATGAATTTGTTATTTCACAGTGTTTACTTCAATATAAATTTGAGGTTTGTTGTATGCACATCCAATTGTTGTCGCACTTTGAACATGAAAAGTACACCTATCACGTTTATTGCATAAATCGTTGAAGTAAAAGTAACAAGGCCAATTTGTCTTGTTCATAGCTGCCGCACTTTGGTATGACAATCCAATAGGTTTGGATGGAACTTGAGCATGCACATCCAACGGCTACGAAAATAATAAAGAGTTTTAGTTTATAGAACTACAACATGCAGCCAAGCAATAACTAAAATAAACCAAGATTATCAATTAATAACTCATTCAAAAGGAGGACTTAATAAATAAAGGGAAAGAGGTTCGGTCATTGTCACTCCAAAAGCTAAGGCGTCAAATGGGTTGTTTAAGATATACATTAGATGTCAAATACAACATTAGCAGTTGCAAATGATGGCCTACTCTTTTAACATATAATTGCTTCTAGTGCTCCATGTTTAATGTTCCTCAATAGCCAAACATTATGAGAATCTAAAGCATATAGCGGAATTAAAATCATAGGACACCATAATTCTTGTAAATTCATGGCATGTCAGCAATAAAAGACATTGTAAAACATAGAGGGCACTGCAACGAACATATATATGCCAGAAATGAAGGTGCAAATGTGCAATGATCGGGCAATATATCAAGTAGATGCTCCAAATATACTACCCTGTCATGATTCCTTTCGAGTTGCGTGCATGCAGAATTGTCTTCTAAAGCTATAATTCAATACAGATTCAATTGTAAAATTTCCAAAACATGTAAAAATTTTCAATTCGTTCATGATACATCAGACCCATAATCAACATGAACTTATTAAAAAGAATATGAGCTCACATGACGCCGAAAACCACATGTCGGATTAATACAATTCCCAGTAAACTGTACCAACAGTCTCTCGGATTGAGCCTGGCAATTTTACTATGTCGATACTCACAACCAATTCCTTTATTTAAAGAAAAATCAAACAAGAATATCAAAAAAATTTAGCCTATGACCCTCTTTCACTTCTATTCTAATGGATTGAATATCTTTCATAAGGAGTACTAAAAGTTTTGATTAAGAAAAAAGAAAGAAAATAAGATGGTTTTGGTTCAAAACTAACACTGAATATCCAGATCCTTGACATACAGTTCCAGAAACATAAAAATTTCAACAAAAAACACACAATGTGAGCTGAAAATGAGAAAGTGCGAAAAAGGAAAAGCTTACTTCGAGATAGCCCAAAATAGAAAATAAATACCTTTTTGCAAGTGAGGGAAGAGGCTAAGAAATAAATGCAATCGGTGTTGTGTTCTAGTAATTCTTCCTCCATTTTTTCTTTGTAAATAAAAAGCTGAAATACAGAGCATTGCTTGGGTTTACAATTTTACATGGCGGAAAACTGAAGAACAAAAACCAAACGAGAGTGCATGTGAGAGAAAGAGACTGAGAGGTGAAAGCATTGTTTGGGATTGTATTATATTTGATCATCTGTTAGAAAATATTTAACCACAAGGATTAAACGAAGAAATTATTATATGTCATTTATACAAAATAATTTCAACTTTGTTGGTGACTTTCAACTATTCAAGTCAACACCTCCACAGAATTCAAAGTTAAATTAGATTTTTCCATGCATCCCCGACTGAAAAGTTACGTTGGAAATGAGAAGAGAGAAACGAAAAAGGAAATTCGAGATCAAAAAGGAATTTGGGGTTTAGAATGAAATTAAGGATTGCATTGCAAGTTTTAAAAGTTAAGGGACCTAAAAGCAAATGCCTAAAAAGTTCAGTGACCATATTGCAAACATACGAACGGCAGTGTAACGGCATCAAACGGTCGGTTACGTCGGGGACCATATTGCAAACGGACTAAATGTTGGAAGATTATATTACAAGTTTTAAAAGTTGGGAGACCTAAATGCAAGCTTCATAAAAGTTCAGTTACCATTACTATACTTTACCCTTAAAAATATTTTAATTTTAAATCTTTTTCATCTTTTATATTTTCGAATTTCTAATATTTTGTCAAATGAAACTATCTAATAAACATAGTAATAGGCCCTTTAAATATCATGAGTCAAAACAAAGGAACCCAGTTTATTGTTGTCGCACGTGTTCCTTTGACTCGGTTGACTTCAAAAGAAGTTTCCCAAGAAAAAGGGTCATGCTACTTCTTGCGCTAATCTCTCTACTCTGTACTCCCTCAAGTTTCGAATGGAATAGTAATGATCAATTTGTTTTCTTATTGAAGTCAGTTGACCTCAACTGAATTCAGCTATATAGTTCGTGGGGCCAGGTGAGCTTTGCTTTATTTCCATTTCAGTGTTTTTGTTTATCTGGGTTTTATGAATAAAGCTGGAATTTTTTGTGCATTAAATTTCGTGGATTTAGGGTTTTTGATTGATTTACTAGTTAAATTAAGTTCATTTATTTGTTTTATGTAGTTTTTAATGTGGGTTTTGTTCATCTTGTTTTAATTTAACAACTCTGTTGTGATTTCATTTGAGACTGTTTGAATTTGATCAATCTGTTGGTTTGCTATGTTAATAGATGACATTAGGGTTTTTGATGATTTTGATTGAGTGTTATGTTTATTCTATATCTGGGTGTTGATATCTTTGGTTGAAATCTTAGATTTTGGATGATCGTGAGGAACTTGGAATATGGAAACTGAAATGCCAGCTGATCGGCATTTTTCTCGAGTAGATACTTTAGAGTTGAAATCTCTAATCGAAAGGAAGATTGGTCGTAATAATGCGGAGAGATACTGCGATCTGCTTTCCAGATTTTTAAGTCTTAAGATCGAAAAACCTGAGTTCAATAGGCTCTGCATTGATACAATAGGGCGAGAAAATGTTCATCTTCATAATCACCTCCTCAGATCAGTTATTAGAAATGCTTCACTCTCAAAGACTCCTCCAGCAAAAGAGAACAAATTGGAAAGCTCTTCAAGTGTTAAATTGGCAACCAGATTTCCAAGAAGAAATCTTCAGTCACTGTGCAAAGGCATTTCTCAATCCCTTCTTAAAGTCCGGACACTAAATCTTCGAGACCGCAAGTTGAGGGACCGCCCAAGTCCTTTAGGGCCTCATGGGAAGAACAATAGTACTGTCTGTGAAGATGCGCCTCCTAAAGTTCATGAACAGAGTGCTACTGAATTGCTTTCATTGAGTAGCCGACCGCCTGGTTCTGTGGAGGATGGAGAAGAGGTTAACCAAGCTTCAGGAAGTCCAAGCATTCAGAGTAGGAGTCCCGTTAGAGCCCCGCGTGGCATCTCTTTTAATGCTAAAGGAATGCGGAGAGTTCCTTGGAACGGGTTGGAATCTGCTCCTGAGACTTGCTATTGCAGAGGTGAACTGCCTGATAGCAGTTCTTTGAGAAAGAGGTTGGAATTGGAGGGATTAAGCATCTCAGTAGATTGTGCTGATGTGTTGAACATTAGTCTTGATGTCTTCTTGAAGAGATTGTTAACACCATGCTTGGAACTAGCTGGTTCGAGATCTAGAGAAAAACTTATCGAGCAAGGTCTTAGTTGGTCCATTGCCTCTTTGAATGGGATGCAACATGTGAAATTTGCCAAACAACAAAGTCGGCACATTTCTACATCGGTGTTAGACATTCAAGTCACAATGGAGCTAAATCCCCTCATTCTTGGAGTAGACTGGCCAACACAACTTGAGAAGATTTCCCTGCTTGCCTCAGAAGAGTGAACGATGACTTGAATTGGATCAGGTTCTGTCTCGGGCAATTTTGCGACATTTCAATTATGAAGTCCATTCTAGCTTGGATCTTGGTTGTACCATTTTTATATAACAGATGAAGTAAATAATTATAAAGGCTACAAGGGTTTCAGGTCAATCTGATTAGATTATATAAGGTCAAGGCATTGATCCACGAGGCGTGCAACTATATCGACACTTTGTAGGAATCTACTAGCACGAACAGGTTATCAAATATCTCACTCTGATGTCTATAGTTTTCTGTTTGCTTTATTGAACACTTATTTTTTTAATAATGAAGGCGATCTTTGAGTTTTTGGGCCTGCTATTGTTGATCTAGTCATTTGAGCTTTAATCATCTACTATACGCTTTTCATCTGATATGACCAATTATTTTCGGTTTGTTTACTTACAGTCGTGCAATAATAAACTCATTTATGTAGTGACATTTTTGGTGTTGCATGGATATAAATGTGTTTCCTCCCTTATATCGGACCGTACCAGTAGTCTGAAAATCATTTGTTTCAAAGGAGCTGTATATCCTACATGAGATTGAATGCTTTTCACTTATTTTCTTCTGCTTGCCCCTTCTATGGCATGTCAGATCCACCTGCTTGGGGTCATAGATGAAACCATAGAGGACATGGTTTTTATATTAACCATAAAGGAAGAAACAAATGGTTCTAACTTGATATCTCAAACTAGGTAGTCTTATGGTGAGCATGTTTCTATAGGCAACTATTCATTCATGTTCTTTACATGTCTAGCACTACTCGTAGATTTCCGTATTGTTTACTTTTCCATAACTCAGATCAGTTACCATGTAAAGTCACTATGAGTGCATGCATCTTATAGGCATTGTTTATCTATCAGTGATTCAGTTTGAATGACTAAGGTTAATCGCCATGCTTTGAGGTCGATTCATTTTAGGAAGATTATATCTTGTATTTAAGTTCGGATAGTGGCATCCAATCTAAGCTAGGTCAAACAACGTTAGTTTTTTGTTGTCATCCTGCCACATTTATTCCTCGCCTTTTATGAAAATGTAAAGGAAACCCATTATCTAACTTATTACAGTACCAAGTAATCTCATCAGAAGCTAAACAATACTTGTCCCAGACCCTGAAAAATTGTCTACCAACAGTTTATACCTCTGAGAAACATTCTCAGTTAAAAGCATCACACCTTGTACGGATGTTCCCGTTCCTCCCCGTCTTAACACCTACACGCCCGAGCTTTGTAATGGCAGTGATAAAGGCGTTGTTAAAAGCATTTGAATTGGTGGCCCATGTGTTTACGAGAGGCTTAGACCTCTGGTCTGTGAATAAAACCTGGTCGGAGGTAAACAGACCCTTGCCTTGCTGCAAGTTCTGGAAGTAAACATTGTCGAATGTCCTGGGTGTGTTCGGGTTCATGTTGATGGCTATCCGGGGATCAACATTCCTGGGACACATCTGTTGCAATTGGGTCACATATGCCCGGTTGAGTGTCGGGTCCACCGGATTTTGACGGCTGAAATTGTATATCTTGTTTGAAACTTGCTGCAATGAGAGAATCCGACGCTGTTTGCACCTGCAAAAATATAAAAACAAGGACCCTTCAGTAAAACCCTTCAGCAAAAATATAAAATATTATGCTCGTTATATATAATATCCAACTTTTGGTTAACTAGTCAAAATATACTTTAATGTCCAGTATTCAAAATATTTTTTTATTACATCGGAATAGTATTGAAAAGTGTTAACATTATTGTTTTTATGTAATCGTTGTACACTAATGCCAGCTAATATAAGATGCAACTTAAATTAGATCCATTCACAAGGGGCATAGTGCCCTGTCCTACAAAGAATTGTTTCATTTCATTTTTAAAGTAGGGTAAACTATGCATTTAGTCACTTACCTATTCTTGTAGTGTAGTTTTGATCACTAAATTATTTTTTTAAATAATACTTAACGTTATATTTTGGTCGTCATTCTTTAAAAAATTAACGGTGATGTTGATGTGTTATTATAGGCTAATGTAACGTCATCATTGAGAAAAAAAAATTACCATGTCAGCCGTTCTACTTATTTTCTAACGGCAGGTGACCAAAATGAAATAAGAATATAACGTTAGGTGTAATTTTGAAAAGAAAGTAATTGAATTAGCATAACAGAATCACAAGAATAATCGAGTAACTAAAACATAATTTACCCTTTAAAGTATTACCAGAGCAATAACATCCCGAGTTACCATTGCCAATATATCAGCACAAGAAACCTTGTTTCTGCAACCAGGAACCGCGTCCACAGCTTGTTTAGCTTTTATCACGGTGTCGAATCCATCTCCAGCTAATAACAGGTTATCGGGGTGATCCTTCTCCGCAGTATTGCCGCCTGTGTATTGAATGATTACTGAAGCATCACATCCCTGTTAAGCAAAAAAAAAAAAAAAAAAAAACCAAGAAAACACGAAGATTAAACATCAATAACTCACTCCAACACGGAGAAAAAACCTCGAGAGGCTGTTCTTAAAAGAACATGGACAAATCAATCATGGAAGAAGAGACGAAGAGTTGCAGGGACAGTGACAAAAAGTTTGTCTGAATTTCTGAGTAAGGGCATTTCTAACAATGGATTCTACGTTGGGACAAGTATTAGTATAGTAATTTTGTCTTAGTTAAACTGATGCTGTCTGAGGGAGCAAAAATAAACTAAGAGAAAGCGACAACACAAGTAGAACGTTAATGAACCGAGCCATTTGATATGGAATTTGAGTAATTGCAGAAGAGACAAGTTTGGCTAATGATAATGTAAAAAAATGTAAAAGGAAGAAGTTTCCAAGTGGTGTCGAGAAGCCAGTTGGATGGGAATTTTTTTGAACAGCAAAATGAGTGTGCAATGTGACAATGTGTGTGTTTTAATAATACAGCTACAGTGAGACAGAGACAAGGTTTCGAAAGGGAGGTTGATGTGTTTTTTTGTATGGTTTCGTCAATGGCCGCCTTTGTCTCGTTTTCAAAACACTGCTATCTTCAGTTTCAGAAACTTCCCTTCTTATTAACAATTAATTGATCTAGTATTAAGTTCCTTAAACATGAGTCAAAATTCGAATTCAATATTTATAAATGGAACAAATTAAATTAAAAATGTTATCCTCACATTAGAGACGAAACTTGATCACTAAATCAGATTTCAAAACTATCCAAAACGTGGTCCAAGCGGGATGGATGGAGAAACAGTGTGGGTTGAAAATTAGGCACAACTGAAAACTCGTGGCATGCACGTTAAGATTTGTCTTTGTGTCTGTGTGCCTCCACGACTAGGAATAGTAAAATTCTCCATGAATCTACGTACTATAGTAATATCCAATAAATTTATATTATAAAAAAGTATAGAGTATTAAAATATTCTAAACAAAACAATATTTATTAATAATCAAATGGTCAATAATCAGTGCACTTGCACAAGTCAATGTGAGCACATGTTCACTTTAAAATTTGAATTTCTTAATGTTAATTGTTCATTTCACTTGAAGTGCCTACTGTAAAATTTTATTTGTATTTATTTATACGAAAATTTTTTATTATTAATACATACATATCTACCCTAAAAAATATTTCTAAACTTGTCAGATTATGGTTAGGTTAAAACTTAAATTTGAAAATATTGACGATGTCTTTCATAAAATAAACGTATGATTAGCCTAATTAATCAAAGAATCTTGCTGAGTTTTCATGGCTACTGTACAGTTAGTAACGTGCAGAGTTTATATTTAATTGGGAAAGTGACATATGGGCAAAAAATAATAAATTATTAACAAATGAAAACAACTAAAAAGTATGATTTATGATTATACTTTATTATAAATTAAGATGTAATAATAAAACTTTAAAAATAATAAGATACTTTTATAATATAATGATAAAAGTATTATTTTAATCTAATATTAACATTAAATTTCAAATTCAATCTTAATATAAGCAAAAAAGAAAACATTACAGCACCAGCAATAATTGTATATTTTTAATAATTAAAACAACGTGAGCAGAGGCAGTTTTTGTTCTCCCATATCTAGATTTTGCTGCAACATGAAAATAGAACATAATAGGAACATTTATATTTCTAGTTTAGGGTGTTATAGACATATTTCAGACTAATCCTGGCCCATGCATTATTATAGTATTAAATTAATGGATATGATTAAAAAATAAAAAGAACTTCCAATTTGATGCTAGTATTATTGGGCTACTCATGCACGTAACCTTTACTTTTATGTGAGAAAGGATTCTACTTTCCCTCTTTGCCCTACAAATATAGGCAAGGCTGCCCTTTGTTTGGTGTCACGTTCTTTTCTGTTGCAGGCCCACTTTCCTTCAATTTTGAGTCAACTTTGAGATTTCATAAAAATATATCCATCACTTTAAAGATGTTTAATTGTAAAAATAATACTAATACGAAAAAAACAAATCAGATTTTTAACAACAAATATGTAAATATGTTTTTGTGAACAGCTTGAGGAAACAAATAGTTCTGATTTTTACGGCATTCTTTTGATTTAATACACAAATGTTCATATATATATATTATATATATATATATATATATATATATATATATATATATATATATATATATATATATATATATATATATATATATATATGTGTGTGTGTGTGTGTGTGTGTAAATATGTAAATATAACAGCTTGAGGCAACAAATTGTTCTGATTTTTACGGCATTCTTTTGATTAATACACAAATGTTCATATATATATATATATATAAAAGGATAGAATCTAATTATACATAGTAATTTATTTTCAATTTTACATGTATTTAGGAGTGTTGTATAAGTAAAAATAGACGATTTAGATTAATAATAGAAAATAAAAAATATTCATTAAAAAAAGTTAATATTAACCTCTTACTTTTATTGATCTAACAATCTTAAATCAAAGTAAAATTAAAAAAATATATTTTATTAATGCATTTTAATACATATAATTTTACATTATGTAACTGAATCTTGTCCATGTATAATGAGTATGTCGAAACGGCTTTTCGAAAAGGGGATGGGGTCCCGTTTCGAAATAATTTTTGATGATCGGTTAACGATAAAACATGGTTCGAGGAGTCGTCATCAATATTTGATTAGGGTGTGATTGGGCACACAAAAAGTATTTGTCAATTTAAAAAGCTTTTATTTTAATTAAAACAACAAATTTACGGTCTGCGTTACCAAAATTTATCTTCGGGAGTCAGTTACGTGTGGAGAATGATTAGCACCCTAAATCGGCACCTAGACGATTAATTAGTTGTCTTTGCAATTAAAATAATATTCTTTGAATTTTTGGACGAAACATTATGATATTTAATTATTTTATATCGAGAAGAATCGACATCTCATACCTTAAAGCAATCGATTCTTACTCCAATCGAAATAAAGAAATATTAAAAAATTTCATTCTAAAGTTCATTATTAATTCAAAATAACAATACAAAATAATTCTAAGAGAGAAAATGATAATATCCAATTATTTCTGATCGAGAATAAATGACCTCTCATGACTTAAAGCATTCATTTATTACTCCAATCGAAATGAAGAGATATCAC